TGTCTCTCGAAGACAATGGGTTTGTCTTTGAGAACAGATTTAAGACTTTGTGAACAGAACTCCATTTGAATGAAGAGATGATTGGACTCAAGCCATGAGTTGTAATACTTTACCACATATTTTGAGTCCAGTTTTGCCAAACTTTTCACTTCTGCTAAAACTTTTTGTCTCTTATCTTCACTAAAATCTATGGATATATTTAAATGTTAGAAATGAATGAAACAACTAATTATTAAACTTACCCCCAAATTGAACTCTTTTAACGGCATATATCTTATCATCCAATCTATGCTTTACTTTAAATACAGTCCCAAAACCACCCGAACCTGTGGCTGACATCTCAATGAATTGGGTTTTATAGTTACCATCACTTGTAGTCTTATCCTCGCTTTCATTTACTGTTAATTTGTCAAATCAATTAAAATATGAATTAAACTCTTAAAATTTTATTAATTACTAAAAATGAAATTTAATAAATTACCTTGTTGAGAAATACCATCATTTGAATTAATAATATTTACGCTTTGGTTTATTTTTAATAATGTTTTATAATTTGACTCGTTTTGTAATATGTTTTCTTTCAATTTATCTAAATTAATTGTATTATAAGTTATTTGACATTCATTGGCGTAAAAGTCGATAAAATTATTATAATTTGTTTCAAATAATTGATTATATTTTGATAATTTATATATTTTGTCATTCATTAAAACTGTAATAAAATCAATTTCTTTCCAATAAAACAATGAATTAATTTGTTGTATATTTTGAAAGTGATGTTCAGATAGTATTTGTTTCGGACTTCTTTCAAACAATTCTGTATTATTTTCATAATATTTTCCACAAAAATATAAACCATTTGCTGTCAGAAAATATGTCCCAATATAACTACAACTCATTATTTTCACATTTTGTATGTTTGCTATCAATCGGGGTTTTATTACTCTCTCATCGGTTATATTGTGTCCCAAAATATGGTCTCTATTATAACCCCAACTGAAGACATGTCCGTCGGATGTGATGGCAAACGACGAGTAATAACAACAATAAATGGATTGAATTTTGTGATTATCATTGAATTGTATTTCAATTGGTGTACAAATATATTCACTATTACTTCCGCAACCAATTTGTCTCCAATTGTTGTGACCCCAGGCGTAGACCCGGCCATCACTTGTGAGGGCCAGTATGTGATGATTACCACAACTAATTTGGGCAATACTTTTACTAGTAAAATATTCTATTATCTCAGGTTTTACGCACCAATTAACCATGTTTTTATTACCATTGGCCAGTTGTCCAAAGCTGTTGTGACCAAATCCATAGATCCTATTCATACCATTCACTGCTAACAAAATCATATCCATTGACAAAGTATTGTATGTTTTGATGACATAATTGTGGTATCAGTTGTGGTGAATGTACAGTATTTCTGTGTCCTAAACCCAGACATCCATTTCTATTATTACCCAAACCATAGACCATATCATTGTTTGTTACAAATAATACGCTATATTTTTCGTTGAAATCCATAAAAACATGTAATTTTTTTATATTTTCTCTAATATCTGTTGAAATGTTGTCACAAATTGTAAACTGTTTTAATAATTCACACATTTTTATAATTATAATTAATTATTTAATAAACAATTATAATACTGAACACAAAAATTATTTTTAAATATATAAATTAAGCACAATATATAATTAAACAATAATTTTTTATAGCGATTTTAAACATAACAGATGAAATAATTGATTAAATCGCATATCAAAACCCATAAGGCGTTGTCTTCAATGGGGGGGGGGGGTGTTAGGGACATGCAAACGTTATAATTTTAACATGACTACATGAGAACAATTGAGAACAAAAGGGAGGGAGGGGGTCTAGATTTCTGAAAAAGTGCGAACGTAATATGTGAACGACCCCTAAACAGATATAAGTTTTATTCGTATTACATATACATTTATTATACTTGTTTCCAATGGTTTTAATTGATTATTATTATACTGATGTTATCAACATGTTGAATTAAAGTGTTTTTAACATAACTAATATAACATACGTGTATATTTTTTAAATAGAACATATTATTTCTTATTAATTATTAATATTAAAATAAAATCATTAATTAGCATATATTTTTATTATTTTTTATTAAATATTACAATATGTTTATAAAAAAAATAATTACAATTGTTATTACAATGTGTGAATTATTAGAAAAATTAATAATTAGTGACATAGTACCCAAAGATATCAAAATCAAATATCCAAATATTAAAATTTTAAAGGCGTTTTCTGACTGTCATGGAGAACATACAATATTATTTATTACCAGTGATGATATAGTTTATGGGTTGGGTAATAATAATGATGGACGTATGGGTTTGGGACACAAGAGACCAATTCAATCGCCAGAAATAATACAAGAATTATGTAATCAAAACATACAATACTTTGTCAATGGATATGATTTTGTGTTAGCAGTGAATGATAAGAAGAGGATATATGGATTTGGTAATAATCATTATGGACAATTGGCCCGGGGTAAAAGACATAATTATAATAATTGTCTGAAACCAGAGGTAATTACATATTTTAATGATAAAAATATTGCACAAATCAGTTGTGGTAGTCGTCACACAATAGCCCTCACAAATAATGGTCGTATGTATGTCTGGGGTTGCAATAGTTGGGGACAAATTGGTTGTGGAAATTGTGACGATATTTATACACCGATTGAAATACAATTCAATAATAATTATAAAATACAATCAGTTTATTGTCATATCTCCTCTTCATTTGCCATCACATCCGGTGGACATGTCTTCAGTTGGGGTTATAATAAAGACAATATATTGGGACATAATATTACCGATATAAAAGTATTAGAATTTCAATTAATATCAAATATAAATAATGTCAAAACAATCAGTTGTTCACAATTTAGGACATATTTTTTGACAACCAATGGTTTATATTTTTGTGGAAAATATGATAAAAATAATAAAAAATTGACTGAAAACACTCCAAAACAAATCCTATCTAGATTTTATTTTCAAAATATACAACAAATTAATTCATGGATTAATTCGAGAGAAAATCAATTTATTTGTGTTTTACGTAACAATAAAATATATAAAATATCAAAAGAAAATAAATTAATTGAAACAAAATACAGTCGATTTCATAATCCTTTGCGCGTGTTATTTAATGTTTACGAGTAAACTAAGTTCAATTTTAAAAATCTAATTCGGTACGATTGTGGGCATTTATGGGAGGCAAAAGTTGGCTATTTTAAATTTTTTGATTAACTTCTAAATTTTTGTTGAATGATAAATAATTGTTTTCCAAAAAGTATTGAATCTATCTTTTCGTTCTAATTTTTAGGAAAAAGTAGACAAAACAATAAAATAATGCAAATCTGAAATTCACTTTTTTTCTAGACAAGATTCTTAACATTTTAGTATACTGATTGCTAAAATTGACAATGTTTATTAAAATAAATTCACTTTTTTTCTAGACAAGATTCTTAACATTTTAGTATACTGATTGCTAAAATTGACAATGTTCATTAAAATGGCAAATATGCGAAATATGAAATTTTGGGTACTTTAGCGCTCTATTTTTGATATTACATCAATTATATAAAAAAAATCCTGATACAGGTATCAACTCATTTTACATTATGTACATTTTGAGATATCGAACGCAAAAATTGACCCAATAGTTTTTGAGCAATAATTATTTATCATTCAACAAAAATTGAGAAGTTAATCAAAAAATTTAAAATAGCCAACTTTGAATACAGACATAAATAGATAATATATCAATTTTGTGACAATTTCCGATAATTTAATATAATTAATAANAATTTAGAAGTTAATCAAAAAATTTAAAATAGCCAACTTTTGCCTCCCATAAATGCCCACAATCGTACCGAATTAGATTTTTAAAATTGAACTTAGTTTACTCGTAAACATTAAATAACACGCGCAAAGGATTATGAAATCGACTGTATTTTATTAATTATATTAATATTTTATTAATTATATTAAATTATCGGAAATTGTCACAAAATTGATATATTATCTATTTATGTCTGTATTCAAAGTTTTAATGTTACATGTTTACTTTGAAACCCTTTCCATCACTGCTTACCCTTCCCATCGTTTGTGTTGTATTACAAACAAAATTCAATTTTAGTTTAATGTTATTTTTACAAAAAATACTTATTGATTATTAATTACTTTAAAACCTGTAAAACAATACAAACAATAAATTGATAGTAGGGTTGTTAATCTTGTCATATAACAACACGTTCAAGTTTACATTTAATTAAGCAACATGTAATAAATGATAAAATTTTAATACTGTAGCCAATTTACACATAGATTATCTGTATCAGGAATAATGAATAATATAACGTTGTAAATTAAAATATTATTAATATTTATATGGCGTTATCATAATATATAAAAATCTATATTTAGCGCAATTTACAACTTATTAAACAAAAACACACAAAACATGTGCTTTCAGAACCAAAAAGCATAAAACTAACAATAAGTTTGTGTTAAGCCAAGAGATTGTCCGCAAACCCCGACTACCGGTGCCGTCCATCACATCCCACACAACAACACAACACATATTGAGTGATCGTCCGGTGCTCTCGGTTTGTTTTTTACATTTGATTTTGTTTAAAAAAAATAATTTAATTTATAATGAATTAAAAATTTATTTATAATCACAAACATAGAGACAATGCATTATATTATGATAGCAATCATATGTGTGGCCATCACTGGCACAGCGGGTGTGGACCCGACTATCGGTGCCATAACTTACGCCCAGAGAGGGATCGAAAGGTCTGTCCGGGCGTTGGATGACAAGCGGATGACACATGTGTGTAGTCATCATATCATGAGTCAAATGACCGAAATAAGCGGAATAGTGGCCGATTGTTTGGGCGCCGGGAGGTGGGGGCTGACGCGACTCACCCCTCCCGACCACGTATTGCCCGCCTATTGTTGCGCTATTCACGAGATGTTTGGTGTCATGTATTTATGGGTATATTTATTATGCACTCTATTATGTAAAATGTATTAATGATATGTTATTTTACTACCGATTGAATGGCCCGACAGTTGGACCGGCAGTGCATCCGAGTGTCGGACGAATCAAACTCTTTCTATCTGTTGGTTAGAAACAAATGCAATGAAAGCGGCATTGATTTGAGTGATGGTTACTGCGCGGGTCAGCCCAGTAGTCGCCCGATGACCGCCCGATGCGACCAATTTCTACTGTCTTTGAGCGCCGGTGACTCGTCGGTGACAGCGCCAGATCGGTTGCTTTTGTCGTCGACTACCCGTCCCCTCCCGGCTATGGGTTTGGTATTATTGGTGGCGATTGTGGTGTCGATAGCTGTTTATGTCTATGGGTTTTAATATTGGATTTAAGCCATCAATTGATACAATATTTTGTGTTTAAATTATTATCAAAATATATTTTTGTATTCAATTTCTATGTTTTAATTTATTTTTGAATTGATTTTTAGGTCATTTATAGCTTAAATTACTTAAATATGTAAACTTGTAATTAATTATGATTTTAACTACAATTAAATGTTTTATGTTTTTACAATTGCATTTTAATTATGTTTTTCATTGAATATATTTAATTGTATTAATTTTTACGTATTATTGTTAGACTTTCCGTCCATTGCATATAATTACAAACCAATTGCCAATTAATCCATCTTTTTGTGTAATTATAGCTAATTTTGTTATTAATAAAACATGTAATTTCAATGAATAAAAATTATTTAAATTGAAGAAATATTCAAAAATAAATATTTTTCATAATTTTTAAAACAGTAAATAAGTAAATATTTAAAATATTAATAACTTATTATTATATATGTACGTGATTTAATAATTCAAATCTAAGTACAGGTATATGGCTACTAATTATATAATCAATACATATGAATTTAATATGTAGCAATTCTAAATATTACATAATATTTAATTGCCAAATCAATAAAATAGTAATTAATCAAAATTAAATTTAAGCTCAAATAAATTGCTTACCATTTATGATTATTTGAAATATCTTATTTATAGTCATTGACATACAATTCAAAGTAACCTTGATGTTTGAATTATTGAAATACAGTATAATCATACAACTATGAAATATATTGCTGTTTTGATGTATTTGCCTATGATTTCAATGCATTTATGCCTATCAACCCTCAATAATGGTCAATGGTTTGAGCACTCATTTGAATTGACATTTGACTCATCAGACAATAGACAGACAGGAAATGAAATCACAAAATACTGAAACATTTTTGAGTTGAAGTT